ACATGAGGCTCCCTGCTTGGCAGGGAGCCTGCTTCTCCCTCTCCCTCTACTGTTCCCCCTGCTTGTGCTCTCTTGCTCTCTCTGTCAAATAAATAAATAAAATCTTAAAAAAAAAAAAAAAGAAAAGGAATATGTCTGCCTGAAAGGAATCACTCTTGTAATGTGTAGTACCTAAATAAAGCTCTCTCTAATAAAAACAGAGTGACTTATCATTCTTAATATGACCAGATATTATCAAATCAGTGTTATTCAGACTTTGTGCTTGTTATACCTCTAGGTATATTATGGAACTGTATGTTATCGACTTCTATGAGGGTATGTTTCAAAGCATAAGAACAGACTATAGTGATATGGACAATAGCTGTATTAATTATTTCTGTCACCAAAACAAAGGAAAAAATATAAGCTATTGATAATCTACTTGCTTTTTTTTAAGATTTTTATTTTTATTTATTTGAGAGAGAGAGAGAGAGAGAGCAAGGGGAGGGACAGAGGGAGAAGCAGAGTCCCTGCTGGGCAGGGAACTTGACTCCGGGCTCTATCCCAGGACCCTGAGATCATGACCTGAGCTGAAGGTAGACGCTTATGTGACTAAGCCACCCGGATGCCCCTACTTGCTTTTGTGAGTATCACATAAAAATCTCAAATACTTTAAAGTATAAACTATAAATCTTTCATTAGTACTGTGGCATAATAAGCTAGCTCCTTGAATATTTAGCAGAAGTTTTTTGTTTTGTTTTTATTTTTTTTTGCTTGCTTTTTTAGGATGCTGATGGTGATGCTGATGGCAGTGGTCAGTACACCTATTCCAACAGCTATGGGTTGCCCTTTTGGAGAACAGTTATTTTCTTGATGATAACATTAAATTCTGTGATGCTTAAGCAGTCCTTCAGAGATAAAACCTACTGTTTTACCACATAGGATTAAGTTTAATACAAGGCACCAGTTTTCCTCTTTTGTTCAAGATGTAACCATCCTTGAGAGAAATGAGTTCTTTCACATCTAAAGAGTCAGTTGGCCCGTCCATTTCTCTGGTGCAATGTTAGAAAACTCTTTCCTGGGAAAATGATATATGTCAACACTTATTCTATGTTAAATATGTCTCAGCGCTCTGGGAGAATTTATTACCCCAGCTGGGTAAACAATATCCCTCCAGAGCTTGTGCCTACCCCAGGGCTGCCTGGAGCTGGTACAAGGGGTGGAGGTTGCCAGGCTGTCTGCTGGCATGAGTAGGACCAGGGATTATTGTCAAGGCAGTTTCCAGGAAATCTGTTCGTGCCCATTCACCTACAATCATAAGCTCCAGAACAGTTCCTGAAGGCCTATAGACTCGAGTAGGGGGAGTGATTTCTAAAATTTGAGTTTAACATAATGTGGTTGACAGATAAGATCACCAGTTGTGACTATCCCTAGACCTAGCTCCATTACCTTCCCAAAGCTAACTGAAGGAAGGGCACTAGTGGGCCCAGATGACATGGGAAGGAAGCCAAGGAGACTCCATCTATGTAATATTTAGGCACAAAGAAATCAAGATAGAGCTGTTGCCATAAAAAATAAAGAAATGAAAAAATATAGTAGCTGCATTAAACAAAAAGGAACAAAACAGATAAAAGACATGAAGAAGCTATTGTGGAAGATGCTACCTTGAGTAAACAGAAAACAAGTGCTTTATTTTATCAAAGATATTAAATAGAACATGACATTTATGACCTGAGATTAAAGAAAAGATGCTAGGACTACAAAAAAGGGAAGGTAGAGATTACAGAGCTAGGAAGAAAGGCAAGGACTGAATAATCCACAGAACTGAGACATTCATCAGAGTACCAGACAGAAACTGGAATTAATACAAGGAAGGGCACACTTGAAAAAATTGCACATAATGTGGAGGAAAAAGACAAAGGAATGAGAACCATTAGAAAGTGAAGGATATGGCTTGCAGAAGATGAGTTTTCAACCTGTGGATAACTGATATCCTAGTGAGAGAATAAAGCAAAAGGATAAAAAAATTCAAAGATAGGGTTGCATAGGGGGCTCAGTCGGTTAAGCGTCTGCCTTCAGCTCAGGTCATGATCTCAGGGTCCTGGGATCGAGCCCCGCATTGAGCCCCAAATCTGGCTCCCCACTCAGCGGGGAGTCTGTTTCTCCCTCTCCCTCAGCTCCTCCCCGCCCCTGACTTGTGTGCCCTCTCTCAAACAAATCAATAAAATCTTTTTTAAAAAATTCAAAAATATAAAAGAAGAGATCTTTACCAAAATAAGGAAAGACTAGAATTGCTTGGAAAAAGAAAACTCAGCATGAGGAAGACTGACATATAGTCAGGTGAATTGATAGCAGCAGAATAGAGTTCAAAAACAGAGGTGGGGGAGGAGCAGGGGGCGCTCCTGGCTGGCTCAGTCAGCAGAGCATGCAACTCTTGATCTTGGATTTCTAGCCCCCCACATTGGGTGTAGAGATTACTTAAAAATAAAATCTTAAGGGTGCCTGGGTGGCTCAGTTGGTTAAGCGACTGCCTTCGGCTCAGGTCATGATCCTGGAGTCCCGGGATTGAGTCCCACATCGGGCTCCCTGCTCCGCGGGGAGTCTGCTTCTCCCTCTGGCCCTCCCCCCTCTCATGTACTCGCTCTCTCTCATTCTCTCTCTCTCAAATAAATAAAATATTTAAAAAAAAAATAAAATCTTAAAACAAAACAAAAAAACAAAGGTGGGCATGTGGAGCTGTGGGGAAATGACAGAGTTTTCAATAACTAGTGCTGGATTTAGTTCAGTAACCAGAGAAAGAAGCAGGAGGGAAGGAAGGCAGGAAGGCAGGAAGGAAGGAAGGGAGGGAGGGAGAGGGGAAAGGAAGGAAGGGAGGGAGGAAGGAAGAAAAAAAGGAAGGAAAGAAGGGACCCCTGCTTCACACCACACATAGAAATCCACTGTAGGTGGATTGGAAGGTGAAACAATAAAGATAACATAGGAGAAAACTTCATGGCCTGGGGGAGGCAAACATTTCTTAAACAGGACCCAGAAAGCACTGACCATGAGGGAAAAGTGATAAATTGTGCATTCACTTTTCTTTTTCAGAGACAGAAATTTTGTTTCCGATCGTTCTTCCATTGGCAGCCTGTCTAGTGCAAATGCAGCAGGCAGAATCCAGCAGCTTCATTTGTCAGAAGATTTAAGCCCTCGGGAAATACAAGAAAATATTTTTTCTCTTCAAGCAGGTATTTATATCATATTATTATGTTTTGCTATTTGATACTGTTTAGCATAGGTTTTATTATGTTCTGTGATGATGATAATAATTTGTTATTCTCTGTTATGTATGATAATATGAAGTAGGCACAATTTGTAAGTTTAAAAACTGTGAAGTTAAATCCATGTAAGTGTCTGAAACCTCCCGGGATTTGTGTTGGGCCTGCAGGTTAGTGATACCACAGACTTTTCTCTCCCTTTCACATTCTGAACACATTGAGAAATCAGCATAGAAGTCAGGCATAAAGAGAGCAGAATAGTAGCTTCATTACTGGAAAAGCTGGATTAGAGAATTCAGCTTGCTTTGTGGCCAGAATCATGGTTCCTATGTTTTCTAGATCTCAGGGCACCCTCCTTCAGAGAGATTCTACAATGCAGACATCCATTCCCCTGGGAACAAGGGAGCACCTTCCTTACTCCATGTGAGCACCTAAAGAGAGGACAGAGCCTCTCTTGCCACACAAAAGCAGGAGCAGGGATGTATGCCCACGTTTTTGGCAGTTTGGCACAACCCTGAACAAGGTTCACAAAAGGGCACCTGGCCTTTGGGACGAGTGGGGGCTTTGGTGCTGCTGACCAAGGTGGGCGCCTTGCCACAGACACAGGATGGGGGCAGAGAGGCACTGGGGGCGGCCCGCAGGAGGGCAGGCAGGCAGGAGTATATGAGGATATATGTAATGCCTGAAGCACAGTGCAGGGCCAGCGCAAGGGCCCCATAAAATGGTAGTACCCTTTACAGGTGCTCTGTGCTGTAGAATCCAGCACATTTCTGGTTGGACAAGAAGCAGCTCTGTACAGAACGTCACCAGAAGCTGCCACGGTAACCATGAGGAGGCAGGAAGGGTGGTGCTCAGGGTGTGGGATTTAACAGCTAGCAGACTGCAGTTGGACTTCTGGCCTCTTCCACTTACTAAGTTCTGTGGCCTAGTCTGTCGGTCTCTGTGAACTTCAGTTTTCTCATCAGTAAAACTGGTAGTCATGGTACATCCTCTGATTACAAGGGATACTTTGTGTTTTTTGTTTAATTTTTTTAAAAAGATTATATTTATTTATTTGGCACAGAGAGAGAGAGACAGCGAGAGAGGGAACTCAAACAGGGCGAATGGGAGAGGGAGAAGCAGGCTTCCTTCCAAGCAGGAGCCCGATGCAGGGCTCGATCCCAGGACCCTGGAATCATGACCTGAGCCGAAGGCAGACGCTTAACGACTGAGCCACCCAAGCGCCCCGATACTTGGGATCATATATTTAAAGTACTCATGTATCCAACCATTGTAGATGTATTTACTGAGCACCTGCCAAGTGCCAGGCACCTGTTGGGCCCTGGGGATTATAATGAAGCTGCTTCCCGGTACACAGTAAGTGCTCAACAAAAGGCTGTGGAGGGGTGTAGACGCACATGAATTACGTGAAGAGCAGCGTTAGACACCACTGCGAGTCAGTTTCCCTCCCCCCAGAGCTGTGTCGCAGGGAAAGGTACTGTGTTTGGAGGAGTGGCTCTGTCACAGAATTCCCTGCGGAGCCTGAGTATTGACGGAGCGGTGTAGAGCGCGGTCAGTGATGACAGACACGATCATCTGGTGGTTTTCTTTACAGCCTGCTGTGCCGCCCTCACCGAGCTGGTGCTCAACGACACCAACGCCCACCAGGTGGTCCAGGTGAGAACGCTGCTCTCCGGGCTCCGGCTGCAGACCACGTCAGCACTCACGGACCCCACCTCAGGCGAACTGTGTAGCCCAGAACACAGCTTTTGGGATCCCATGATGTGATTTTAAGATATTTTAATATGTCTTATTTAAGTTCTAGAATTCCATTTTATAGTCTCTTTTATTTTTTAATTTTTTAAACTTTTTAAAATTAAGATTTTATTTATTTATTTGTCAGAGAGAGAGAGGGAACACAAGCAGGGGAGTGGGAGAGGGAGAAGCAGGCTTCCCGCTGAGCAGGGAGCCTGATGTGGAGCTCGATCCCAGCACTCTGGGATCATGACCTGAGCCAAAGGCAGACGCTTAACCAACTGAGCTACCCAGGCGTCCCTAATTTTTTAAGCTTTTTTAACATTTTATTTTTAAGTAATCTCTACACCCAACATGGGGCTCAAACTCAAAACCCCGAGATCAGGAGTCACATGCTCTTCCGACTGAGCCAGCTAGGTGTCCCTAGAATTCCATTTTATAGTCTTGTCCTTCCTTTACCTCACTTGGCTTAGAAGGACCAGCCCTGTGGTTAACCTCTGGTGTCTCTTCCCTATATCATGTGTACTCTTTTTCATTTTATCTCTTTTTTTTTAAAAAAGCTATTTTGAATAGCTTTAATTCTGGACATATAGTATACCATGGGTTGAGGATGGTAGTCATTTGAATTAAGAGTATATCAGGTTAGGGGCGCCCAGGTGGCTCAATCGTTAAGTGTCGGCCTTCGGCTCAGGTCATGATCCCAGGGTCCTGGGATGGAGCCCCGCATGGGGCTCCCTGCTCGGTGGGAAGCCTGCTTCTCCCTCTCCCACTCCCCCTGCTTGTGGTCCCTCTCTCACTGTGTCTCCCTGTGAAATAAATAAATAAAATCTTAAAAAAATATTTTTTAAAAAAATTTAAAAAAAGAGTATATCAGGTTATTCAGCTAGAGATGACTGAAACACACACCAACAACATATTTATTGCCAAGAAACCATTTTCACAAAGCATAATTCATTAATCAATCCACTACATATACAGCAATATATGGAAGTAGCATACAATATATCCAACTTCAACTTCAAAATACATAAATACATAAAATGTCATAAGAGATCAGATCACCAATGATTAAAGGCCCGAGGGGAAGCTCAGCAAATCAGGGGGTAGTGGCAGAGCAGGGCATCTGGACTTGGCCAGGTTGAGGTTCATTTCCTACTATCATTTCCTGGTGGTTCGGCCATTGGAAAAATGACTTAGTCTCTCTAAGATTTGGTTTTGTCATATATAAAGCAGGGAAATTATAGACTAATTCACAGAATAGCTATAAAGACTAAATGCAGAAAGGCAGGTAAAGCTGTTCACAGTTACAAAAGCCCATGTATAGTAGAGTTCAGTAAATCAAATATTTGATAATAGAAAAGTAGCAGTAAGTTAGCACTTTTTGTTCATTCTGCTGTGTATATATTAGAGTATCAGAGTAAGTCTAGAAGGATAACTATCTGGACTTCCATGCATAACTTTCATTTTCTAAATCTATTATTACTCGTTTCTTTTATTTTTTCTATGTTCTTTTCTACAATAATTTATCTATGTGTATTGTTTAATTACCAAACTGTAAAGGGAGAGATTATATTTCATAGTTAGACATTTAAAATGCAAAGTACAAAGATATTTGGATCCCTTTACTCAGTCCTTTTTTTTTTTTTAAA